GCAAGTCCTCCCCCTGCCATGGACGTCATGGCACATCATTGCCCCGCTCCACTTTACCCACAACCTTCCTTCCTGTTTTCTTTTGTTGGTTTGTTTGTTTGGGGTTTTTTTTTAGGGGGAGTGGAGGCGGTGGGGGGCAGCCAAAGTGACGGCACGCAGGTCGCCCCGGCGACAAGGCCGCTCGCCGCCAGACGGCTGGAAGGGAGCAGACGACGCGCTCGGCCGCCTTTGGGCACGGTCACCTTTGCAAATGGCCGACGTGTCTTTCGTCTTCATTAGCCTTCCACGGACGAGCAAAAACAGGGAGTGAGCGAGACAGTGGGCTCACTCCGGCCACGTCTCTTTTTGCTTGTGGAGTCAATGGGCAAAACGTCCATTTTTGTATTTTCGCACTAGGCTGCAAGTGAGCGTTGCAAGGCGTCAGCGGTGAATAAAGTGTTTGTCGTCTCGTCTCCTCTCAGATCATTGGTACAGCACGAATATCTTTGCAGAGGATAGAAAATATATCGCCGCGAGCAATGCTATATTGCCTGCCTGCGTGTGTTGCCGCACCGTTTGTGTTCATGCCATTGCTTTCAGGGTTGCGGTGCCACATCATCGATGCTATTGCACGTTAGCTAGCAAACTGAAAGGCGAAGCTACCGCGTGGGGTGGTTGTTTGAAATTCACAGGGTTGAAATTTCCCGAATGAACATGAATGTCGCATAGTCCGCTAAAACCATTGGACAATGCTGCCGTGGATGATCCCATTCCCAATAGAAGGCTTTTTTTCCAGGGCGAGGGATAGCATTGGGATCAATTCAGCTCATTTCAAAAGGCTCCGTGATTAGACGCCGCGCTAATCTGGGAGCGCGTGGAAACTCACAAGAGTCTAAATCCACTTACTGCCGAATGTTTTCAGCGCCGGCGCAAAACGGAATGTGAGAATACGGCGGCGGCGGATGTTCAAAGTGGGTGATTTTGGCGGCGGAATGATGCCCGACCTTGAAATGCGTGCTTGCATCGGCATGCCGTACTGTTCCTGGACAACCCAGTGCGCTGACACTGGCCGCTCTTCTCCTCCAAACTAATTGATATGCAGGGAAAGGAATTTGCCGTTTCGGTCCCTCATATCCCTTGAAGGAATGCCGGACTAATCCACTCAGACACGCTGGCTGAAAATAAGCCCATCGATGCTTTTCTAATCCTTATTTTTTTTTCTTTTCACTCTTTCAGCCACTGTTGAGGAATCATGAAAACAGACAATACTGGTCCGTCAAAGAATTGCGCTGACTGCTCGTACTCGATGAAAACATGCCGTTGACACAAAGAATCCCGGGTTCGGTCGAACAACAATCACAATCACGCCATCTGCACCGTGAGGCGAACGTGCTAACCCGTCGACCACCGTGCCACCCCACTGCTTTTATAACGTGATCAAAAAACTGAATTCAAAAAAGTTTCCTCAACTGTGGCTGCACTTTCCAAAGAAGACGATTTAAGAATCTGCTTACCAAGCCCAATGGGGTTGACAAGAAAGCATGAACGATGGATGTGGGCCAGAATATGAGCTGGCCTACATATGACGAAATGGGTCAACCCGCACTCGCCCTTCAATGATGGAGCCTGGCAGCAAGGCGCCGGCGCACGCAGCCCGAATCAACGGGCCCTCCGCACGCGGCCGACTTTCACCTTTAGTTGTTTCGCTGTATGCCAAAGCGGTCTTACTTGTGAGGACACGGAGGATACCGAAACATTGACCTTGAGCTGGATGTCCGGAGTATCAAATGAGTGCTCAAACAGCATGTCCCGCAGGTCAAGCGCGTGTGGAGAGAGGAACCAGGAGTCGTGTGCATGCAGATAAAAAAACAAAACAAACAAACAACAACAAAAGAGAAAAACATGACTAGAAACAGAATCACCAACCGCTTCGCTATTGACGGATGATACAAGTGATGAAGTCGCTGCAGCTGCCAACCAGGCCTGCCTGCACGCACGCACGCGCACAGTGCACTGTACAAACAGCACAATACTACTAAGTCAATCAATCCTCATCGCGAGCCAAGTTGCACAAAACGTGCATGCGACAAATCGACCCTGTTTTTTTTTTAACAATAAAACAAGCAGACAAACAATATTTTGGAGGGGGAAAAATGTAAATAATATCTGGTGGGACGGTAGCGATTTTTTTTTAATTAAAAAAAAAAACAAACATTGAAGATGTCCAATTTGTTTTACTACTGATATACTTTTAAACTAGCTCTATTACTTGTTGTTTTTTTCTTTTTTGATGTGGTCATTGAAATGTAACTGAAATGAAACAACTCTCTGTCTCTCTCTCTCGATGTCAAACGGCTCCAGAAACAGGACGAGCAAATGTAAAGTGCGTTTGGCGAGTGTGCCTCACACCGTCGCATCCCTGTGCGACACACGCACTCGTCGCATGTGACGCCCATGCTAATGTCTGTCTGCAAGGCCCATCTGTGCTTAATATTCCCGCTCGCGCGTCTGTCTGCTGGCCTCGGCTCGAGAAGAGCTGCCAGAGTGCGGCGTCAAGGCGACATCGACGATCAGCTCTTTCATCACACCGGCTAAATATAGCAAGTCAAACATTCCTTGGCCAAGGCGACGCCTGTGAACAAAATCCGCCGCGGCGTGGACCTTAACGCTCGTTACCGGAGCCCCGAGCCACTGTGATGATGTCATTTTCAGTCGACAGCTGGAGTGACAGTACAAGTCAAAATGGCCGCCCCCTCCGATGGGTTGAAAAAAAAGAAAACCTTATTCTACAGGCCCCAGGTGGCCAAGCTGCGCAGACCAGAAGGAGAAGCGAAATGTCCATCGGATGCAAATTCTTTCCAATGCGTCGCTGCGGACAGCCTCAAAAGTATGCCGGCGGCCCAATTGCCGAGCCCATTGGGTGTCGTTGAAGTGCTTTTGTAAAAGCAATCGGCAGGGCTTCGTGCGCCCGTTGTTTATTTGGTGTGAAATTGCAGCTCGCTGTGTTTACAGGAGCCACGTCGACGACGACTCCTCCCGCCGGCCCACTGAGCCGCTCGTGGCGAGATCGCTATACTGTAATTGCCAATTATTCGGCGTTGCCGGCCAATCGTGACAAATTGGAAGGGAAGAAAAAGAAGGTCTCCCCCGGGCGGGGCCGCTGCGCTGGGGATTTCCCCTGAAACTTCCCTCCTCCGCAGTCACGTTCGGGTTCGCGCCGCTGAAGTCGGCCATCGCGCCGCCAGGAGACTTGCAGTGCAGCATAGCAGGATTAAAAGAGGCCAGCGGAACCCTCGCTCATCAAAAAATTGAATCAACATGGCAGCGTGATGGCAGCCTGCGGGCTGGCCGCAATGCACGCCGGGAAGGCGGATAATTGATGGTGGAGGTGAAGAAAAAAAAAAAAGAGGTCGTGAGACGTGACTCCCGTCGGCTCTCGAGCGCGATTTCCTCTCCTAATGAAGTCGCAACGTTCCCGGGAAGCGATGCTGCTACCTGAGATGCGAGCGGCAAATCCGGGCAGGGAAAAAGAGCCCATTAGTTCGCAAGCTGACATGCCGCAATGTTAGGGACAATTCAGTGTTGTTGATCTTGTTTTATGATTGTGTTCGTGTTGACTTCCTCTTTCACTCAGAACAAGTGCCTTTTTTCAAATCAAAATCTGATGCAAATTTTACAGAAGCATATTGCATTCAGTTGAAAATCAAGCTTTTTTGGTTGTTGTTTTGTGCAGGTCAACTATTTGGTTCTGCCTCCTGTTCATGTTTGGGTGTAATTGCACTATCAACCACTAGATGGTGGCACTCTACGGTGTTTGACACGACATTTGAAAGGAGGAAAAGGAAAACGGGTTGCATTTCAGCTCAGCGTCGTTTCTCCTGAAGATTCTTGAGTGCGCTCCCAGGGCTGCTGTCTGCCCCTCGGACACGATCCCCCTGGCTGCCCACGGCGGGGTCAAAAGCCGCTCATGTCAGTTTAGCTCGGCGAGAGTTCAGCGAAAGGCTAACAAGCCGATATGGAGATGAGTGGCCGGCCACGAGAACACCAAAAAGCACCGGTGGGCGAAGAAGACAAAAACCTTCGGTGGCGAAAACTGTCAGTGGTGAAATGATTCACTTCAGAAAATATTGGCCTCGGTTGAACGCAATCCTTGCTCCAAATGTGCCAGGACTGGGACTGACACCAATTTTGACCAACTTGAAGGAGGAAACCTCGTCCGCCAGAGTGTCACAACATGCAGCTGTCCTCTCCTCAATTGTGCGTGGGCAAATTTGGATTTGGGAATTTTAGAAAATGCCGAGCGTTGCAGAAGACACAATGACATCATGTCTGTGTATTGGGTTGGGCGGGGGCGGGGAGGGGGGGGTCGTGTAGTATCGTGAACTGCGTGAGAACAGATGCTCCGTCAGGAGTGTTGCAATACCGATATGATTGGACTCTTCAATGCAGCTCGGGGAGGAGGGTGGGCGCAGTGGGATTTGAAGACACCTCACGCACGCACGCACGCACGCACTTTTACTCCCCACACAAGCGCAATGGCGCACTTATTCCCCGTTCGCGCATGGAGAGAAATACGAGTCTCCCCCTTCGCATCACGCTCGTTTCCCCGCTTCCGCACGACACAAGCACAACGAGGGATTTTGCCCTCGAGCGCACCGATGCGGGTTATTCCAGGTGACAGGTGCGCAGGCGGCAGCCGACGCGGCTCTTACCTCCACACCTGTCCCATCTGAAAGACGTGCAGCACGCTCTGCCAGAGCCAGACGGAGAGCCGGCAGCATCGGTCCCGCTGCAGGCTGGCGGCGGCCCGGCGGCTGCTCAGCCCCTGCACGGAGCCCAGCGCGCCCTCGGTGTAATCCTGCACGAACCACCTGAAGCTGAGGATCTGCACCAGCACCGAGGGCACCAGCACGAAGAAGAGCGTCACGGCCGACCACAGGAAGTCCCGGCCGCGGTAGTAGTAGGCGGCGAGCCACACGTCGCTGCCCACGTCCCAGAAGAAGACGAGCAGGGCCAGCACGATCCACAGACAGTCCAGCCACAGGCGCCGCTGCTCCTCGTGCGGCGGCCCGGCCGCCGCCTGCCGGCGCCTGGCCCGCAGGTAGTGCAGGCAGGCGCTCCGGCAGCCCCAGTAGCACGACGAGGTGTTGCAGCAGTGGCAGATGTGGAAGGAACTGCCGTTGTCGGGCCCCTCCTCTCCCGCGCCCACCGCCTCGTCCAGGTTGCGCAGCTGGGCGAAGCCGGAGACGAGCCCGCGGCCGTCGGACTTGGCTGCCATCTTGCCCCCGGTCGCTGGCCCCTCTTCCTCTTCCTCCTCGTCCTCGCCCCCCTCCCGACGACACTTCCCGGACACCTGTTTTGCACCCGCAGCCGCGGAGCCATCTACGAGCCGCCGCAGCTCCCCCAGGCTCCGGGCTCGGATGGCGCGCGCACGCCGCCGCGGACGCAGCGCATGGCCCCCACCCACCCTGCGGGTTCGAGCACTTTTAAGCCGACCGAGAGTGATGGAACAATTGTTAAAGGTCCATCTCATTCGACGCCCCCCTCCTCCTCTTCCCCGTCCTGCTAATGCTGCTGCTGCTGCTGCTGCTTCGGCCCTCCCCGCATCCCTCCTCCAGCTGCAAGCCACCGCCGCGTCCCCCCCACTGGCCCTCGCCGACGTAATTCATCCCCCAACTCTGCCCCCTCCCATCCCACACTGATTCTCCCTTTTAACGCGGATGCCATCTAGCGTCTCGTTTCAAGTCCCCACGCAGCAGCAGATCATGCCGGGGAGCAGCACAAGTGTTCCCTGTGATATCCTGGAGAGAAAACGTCTACTACCGCTCCTGTCAATCGATCGCCATGCTGCTGTCTGGTCCGATTGCTTTTCACAAAATGGATGGCATTTTTCTTCAAGCGCCAACCAATGGACTAAAACGTGTTCTTTCCACTTTGTCTTGATTGTCTCCGTGACATAAATGTGCATTTATTTCAAAATCATCACTGCAGCTCGCATCATCGGAAAGGTTGTGCAACGCTACACCCTTGTGTCCGAATTTGGTATCGCCAGAGCTTCAAGAAATTGGTTATAAACTTGCTTTAAAAAACGGCACTGTCGACAATAATTATAGGTGAGTGTAAAAACGAGTAATTCAATTCACTAGTTCATATTAGAACCGTTTTTTCCGTCGCGAGTTTCCTTCGGTGCCTCACTTGTTTCCAGTCGGCGTGTTGTTTTTGAGGGACGAGCGATCCCCGTTTGTGTCAACAAGGAAGACGGTCAAGTCATTGAACGAGAAATGCGCATTAACATTAGACACACGGGTGTGTTTTTCGTGGAAGCTTGCGACACGCGCGATTTCAGCCTTAGGTGTAAACTATAGCTTATTTGTGTCGCCCGTTTCCCGTTTTGGTCACCACCGACTAGCTCGTTCGCTTTAGCCATTTCGCTCCCCGCCCGAAGCTAGCGGTCATTGCCAGTTGGATACACACACACACACACACAGTACTGCGTTTGTGTGTCTTTTGTACCTGTCAGCGGTCAGGCGTCGTCATGGAGTTCGCCGAGCTGATCAAGACCCCCCGGGTGGACGGGGTGGTCCTCCACCGGCCCTTGATGCCCCCAGTGGAGGGAACCTTGTGCCTGACGGGCCACCACCTCATCCTCTCCTCCAGGCAGGACAACACGGAGGAGCTGTGGCTGCTTCACTCCAACATTGACGCCATAGAGAAGAGGTAACGGCGGCCTGTGGAAATACTTCTTCGCCGTCTTCTCTCGACAGCGTTTATCAAAAATGAGCCGCGTCTCGTAAAGGCTTTGGTCATATCTTGTTGAAGATTCCATGAAGAATCTCTTGCAGGTTTGTGGGCTCTGTTGGTAGGATCATAGTCAAATGTAAAGACCTCAGAGTGATCCAGCTAGACATTCCTGGGATGGAGGAGTGCATCAACATTGCCAGCTCTACAGAGGTAAAAAAAACAACAACAACAAAGAAAGACAAGCTTGAATCAAGTCATGTTTTGCTCCTCTTTATTGCTGTCTAGGCCCTCTCGACCCTTGATTCAATCTCCCTGACGTACCCTTTCTTCTACCGGCCCATGTTTGAGGTCGTCCATGACGGATGGAATTGTTTCCGTCCTCACGATGCTTTTAAAGACTTGGAGTCCATGGTAGGACATCCGTCGCAGACATACCAGCCCTGGCTGCTCAATAAGAGTGTGTTCGGGCGCCGCCCTTCTGCTCAGCTGAGTCACCTTGAATGAGACAATAAGGAAATATTACAATTAAAATATTTCCAAGTCTGTGTACAGCATATCTATTTTTAGACGAGCAGGACAAATAACTTACAGTTAATGAGTACAAGTGATTTGTTTATGTCTGTTGTATTTTTTTGGGGTTTGTTTGTTTGGGGTGCCAGACTCTTATCGCCGCTTTTTTGACATTGAGAGCTTCCTCTTGGTTACTGACAAATGCAAAGGGCGACCAGTTTGATACACAATTTATATCTTATTAGTAATTCATGAAATTCAAGAGTGAAGGAGTGAAGACACTGAACGCCTTCATGGTTTCTCACAATAAGTACACTGGTCAACAAATAGATAATTTTTTTTTTAATCGTGAGATGCTTTCTAGATAATTTTTTTTGGCACCGATTGAGATTTTCATAATATCCTGACCGAACTGGTCAATCGCAAACAAATTTCAGTCGGTTACCCTGGCATACATACGAGCTGGTCTTGTTGAGACACAACGATCCCGTACAGGCAGGAGTGGGCTTCTCCACTGCATTTCTCTCGCAGACAGACGAGTGGCGGCTGAGTGACGTCAACAAGGACTTCAGCGTCTGTCCGTCCTATCCTCCCCTGGTGGCGGTGCCCAAGGGCATCGACGACGAGGCGCTGAGAATGGCGGCGACGTTCCGTCACGGCGGCCGCTTTCCCGTGCTCAGCTACTACCACAAGAACAACGGCATGGTGAGCAAACTGCTGGAGACAACCGACCAAATAGCAATACTTTGTTGGACTCGACTAGATTTTTTTCTACTTGCGCGTCGATCTTTCTGACAGCTTCTCACTTTTTCTTCCCGAGGCACCGCTGTTTTGTGCCTCGTGGCCATACTTAAGAGCAGTGCGAGTTGTCGAATCGGCCGTTTCTCCCAACCGACTATCTCGATGTGGGTCGTAGGTGATGATGCGAGCGGCTCAGCCTCTCACCGGCACCAACGGGCGGCGGTGCAAGGAAGACGAGAAGCTCATCAACGCCACCCTGAGGCCGGGCAAGCGCGGCTACGTCATCGACACGCGCGCCATTAACGTGGCCCAGCAGGCCAAAGCCAAAGGAGGAGGCTTCGAGTCGGAGGCCAACTACCCGCAGTGGAGGAGGATCCACAAGGCCATCGAAAGGTGCGCTCAAACCCGAGGTCCAAACTAGGCTTTTCCCGTTGCCTGTCCCTCCCTTTGGGAATGAGACAAGCCCGCTCTCTGTCGTCTTGAAAACTCACCTCAAAGGTCATTTTTCTTCTTTGGCTTTCGACTCAGCGGGAGACCCCGCGTTGTCTTTGCGCTTAATGGCGTTTCTCGTTTTGTCCTGTTAGCGGCCTTTGTTTCGTGTCGGGCACTTTGTACTTGGCCGGGGTGGTTTTTCTCGTGCTCTGGAAATGAAGTGGATCAGCACTATGGCAAATCAATGGCTTAGCGCAGGCTCCAAAACCTGAAAAAAGGTCGCTCCTAAGCCAGCAAACAAGGTTGACTTCAAGCCTCGTCGCTTCACCAGGTCCGGCGTTCTGCAGGAGAGTCTGATCAAGCTGGTGGAGGCGTGCAACGACCAGTCGCACAACATGGACCGCTGGCTCAGCAAGCTGGAGGCCTCCAACTGGCTGGGGCACGTCAAGGAGATCCTGACCGCCGCCTGCCTGGCGGCCCAGTGCATCGACAGGTTCCAAAGGCCCGCCGGGGTGGACGCCATTTTGATTTGGCGTCGGGTCACGCGTGACTCGTATGTATGCCGTGTCCCAGGGAGGGTGCGTCCGTCCTGGTCCACGGCACCGAAGGCACAGACTCCACGCTCCAAATCACCTCCTTGGCTCAGATCATCTTGGATCCCGGCTGCAGGACCATCCGAGGCTTCCAGGGCCTGTTGGAGCGAGAGTGGCTCCAGGTGAGCTCCACCTCTCTCGGCAAGGTCGCCGTTTGGAACCGCGCAGACGCCGACACGGAGCGGCCGTTCCTCTCTGCAGGCGGGTCACCCGTTCCGGCAGCGCTGCGCCCAATCGGCCTATTCCAACGGCAAACCTCGCCAGGAGGCTCCCGTCTTCCTGCTCTTCCTGGATTGCGTGTGGCAGATCCTGCGCCAGTTTCCTTGTTCCTTTGAGTTTGGCGAGGCCTTCCTGGTGCTGCTCTTTGAGCACTCGTACGCTTCCCAGTTTGGCACTTTTCTGGGCAACAGTGCAGCGGAGAGGTAAACTTTGTTTTTCTTTCCGGTGACTAGTCAGCTGCCACCTCCATTCACCAATGGACTAATATTGCACGTTGCCTGCTTCGGCTGGAATTGCTCATTGATACTTTGTAAAAATCTGGCACCCCGCTCAAAAGTCTTCCCAACTCTACCCCCCCCCAAAAAAAAAAAAAACACAAACAATCAATCATTCCGATGCCCGCTACACGTATGAGCCGCCGAAATATGCTATCACGGCATCATGAAGCGTTTCCGCACCGTGACAACGAGGCACTCTCCTCTTGGCAAAAGCAGCCACACGAGCACAAAGCCCCGGTTGGCACGCTGCCTTGGGCTCCGTTCAGCATGTTGTGCCAAAACAACTGACATTGTCAACCGTTGGACATGACCACGCCAAAGTTTTACACGAGGTTACAGTAAGTTCAGAGGTTACAGTAAGTTCACCCCAGAGCCACATATTGCCCAACTTGAGTGACGAGTCGATTGTACCACCCTGGCGGCGTTTGAATCAAACAAGTCCTGTGTACTTTGCTGTCCTCATGAGCAAATGTCATGTTTGTGTGGTCACTGAAATGACACCGCGGGCTCGCCTTTGTCAGCTGCAACGATCAACTTAGTTAGCATGTTGCGACGCGGTTCTCTTGACGCCTCCTTGTCACCGTCGCCCACAGGGCCAAACTGTCCGTGTCCGACAAGACGGTTTCGCTGTGGTCGTGGGTGAATCGGCCCCAGGAGCTGGAGCGTCTGGCCAACCCGCTTTACGAGTCCAACGGTTTGGTCATCTGGCCCTCGGTGGCACCGCAGAGCCTGCTGCTGTGGGAGGGTAAGACACCTTTCCCATCATGCCCCGCGCGACCCGGAGAGCAAGGGGTCGATTGAGTGAACCGGTCCAATTTAAGTTCAACTTAACGTTCGTCCCCTCACTAGTAAGACTACGAGTAGGCAAAATGTCAGAGTAGTGGGGGGGAAAAAAAAAACTGGCCAGCCATACACAGCCCTTTGCGCAACATACTATAGTGTTGTCATGAATTGATTGTGTTTGTGTTCTGGTTACCAGTAAGTCAGGCGCCACCTGACACACTCCACTTGCTGGAAAAACACATTTCGGACTGTTGCGTGCCTGCGAGCTGCGATTAAGTCAATAAAGGCATGCGGGCTGACTGGAAGTTATTTTTGTGTTGTTTGATTTGGACTTGAGTCACATTTATCCAGAGGCTTTTTGTTTCCCGCAAAATAAATAAAAAGAGAGATTTTTTTTTTTTCTGAAAGTTCTCGTCACAATCGATGCGTCCTCTGTCTATTTTGCACAAACGCTATTTTGCCTTTCTCACTAACCTCCATCGCGGTCTTGAATCCCAGGAGTGTTCCTCCGCTGGAACCGCTCGTCCAGGTGCGCGGACGAGGCCCACGAGGAAATGCTGCACATCATCGAGTACAACAAGGAGCTCCAGAACAGAGTCAACCTCCTGCGCCGGCAGCTGGCCCAGCTGGAGACTCAAGATCCGCTCCTGCAAACGCCCTAGAACCGACGCCAGGTAGAGCACAACATGTGGACGTGTCCTGGAGCTTTTTGTCGCTGACCAAATGAACTTTATTTGCTCCTGTAAAAAAAACACAGACATTCCTCACATTACACTGGAGGCACAAAAATAGTGATATGACAACCCATATTCCTGATCAAGGATGGATGTATCGAGGCTACTCTCCTGCAAAATAAATACAGCATTAAAAATCCCTCCCACCCCTCCACCGTCAATTCCAAATGCACCGGTATGCAGAGCAGTCAGTGTCCCCCCCAAAAATATATACAAAAAATAAAAATAAACTGAGTTGGCTGAGATAAGCATGATGAAAGCATACTATTCTCTTGCGTTTCATAAAAACGGAGTAAGAACCTCAGAAAATTGGATGTAAACGAAACATTGCAACTCCTTCTGGCATGCACATCTTGGCCACCAGGGCGCAGTATAACACCGTCCAAACAAAGAAGCGTCCCCCCCCCCCCCC